CTTCGATTTAGGCATTGATGTATGTGTTGATTAATTGTGCTGGAGAAAAGGATAATGTGCAGATTATGGTTAGTTCCTTAGGTGGTGTTTGGGGGATTCCTATGTGTAGGAAGGATAAAGGGAGGGATTTTCTCTCTACTTGGTGGGTAGTTGTCATCAGCATAGGTGGATGAATCTGTGTAGGCTTGGGGAGATTTTTGCAAGGTTTGTGGACTAAGAGGTTTAAGTAGGTTAGTTGAATTGTTATTAAGTTTGTGAAGGGATTAGATTTTGTTGTTACTTGATAACAAGATAAAGTTGAGTAACAAATAAGTAACTCTCTGATGGCTAATGGTATTGGACTATCATCTTTGTCTCATTTTGCACTAAGGTACGTGTAAACCTTTAGCTCTTGCATGGGTCGGTGGGGACCATTTTTAAGTGGGTACTATTTAGATGCGTGGTTAAAATGTGGCCACCTCACTACGAAGGAACAAATTTGTCCTTGGTACCAAGATTTCTTATATATATCGGGATATGGATATCCTTGGTACTAAACACCAAATTTAGCGCTTGTTAGTGAGGTGGCATTTCTCATCCACGCATTCAATGGGTGAGTAAACAAGTGAGGATCATTTTTAAGTGGAAAAGTTTAATGTGTGCATGAGAATTGGCCACATCACTACCAAGCATTAATTTTATTCTTAAAACTAAGCATACTCATTTTCCTCATATATATAGAGAGAGAAAAAAAAAACTTATGTCAACTTAAGTGGACCATCCACCAAAGTTTTTATTCATTGATGAAAAGTCTCTTCATGTGATGCATGGATCTCTAGGTATCATCAATGGATAGAAATTTTGATGGATGGTCCACTTAAGTTGACATAAGTTTCTCTCTCTCTCTCTCTCTATATATATATATATATATATATATATATATATATATATATAAACTTATGTCAACTTAAGTGGACAAGAGGCATTTGTGCATCAAACTTTCTATCCCCTCATATATATATAAAAAATCTCTTCATATCTTGCATGGATCCCTAGGTATCATCAATGGATAGAAAGTTTGGTAGATGATCTGCTTCATTCATCATGATCTAAATGTCTCAAACTATCTATAAAACAAAATTATTATGTTTCAGTTCTTCCTGCTTATATTCTCCATTGTCTTTTTAGGTGTATTGTTGTAAATCCATTAATGCATGAGTAACTATATCCTTATATACCTAATTTTTGTTTGTACACCATTCAAAGCATATTGATCTAAATGAATGGAGTGCATGAAGTAAATTGATTGCATATATTATATGAGAACGGTAGGTGACTTGACAACGTAGGATATTCCCTGCTCTGGCACCTATTTAATGCACTTTAAACCCAACCTGACCCGAGTTTCTACCATTGGTTAGTCATCCTAAACATAATTATTCACATTTTGATATGTTTATATTTCATAAAATATGGTTAAATTACATTTTAAAATATTATATTATGTAGATCACATTCAGGTAATGTCACTCCGATAAATATTATTTATCCCCAATATCTCCCCGAAAAAATCTGCTATCCGATATGAATTTTGACTGTTTGATAAATCCTCGATAACCAATATTTAAAACCTTGCTTTGAAGTCAAATGATAACACAACAATATAAAAAAAAACAAGTATGGACATAGCAAAGTCATATCCTCAGTGGAACTCGGATCAATCTCTCCCTATCCTGATCTAAATTCCAGCATACGCCATTGAAGATATGGGGGATTTTCTGTGACACCTTTGTTTTCATACATGACTGTAGTCCAAGGTGAACTCAGAGATTTCAAACTTGCTATGCACCCACACTGTGTAACAACACGTTTCATCATCACAGTAATATCTCTCTAGTGGAATCAAATACAAGTGCATGTATAAAACAGACAAAATAAGAAAAATAAATGCAATAGACATGATGTAGAAAGAGATATCTAATATATATAATCATGTTTCAATTGAATAAACTGAATACAATTGAAGTTTGAAATAAATGTGAAGTATCTCAATATGAGTCAACTGAAAATAAACTAAGACGCACAACCTTTACAAGATGAAATACAAAACTCTAAATATCTAGAGATAAATATCAACTACGATGGAGTCTCATTTACTAAAAATATGTGACGACGACTATGATGGAAGTCCGTCATCCTGCGGCTCTCCGAAACTCTGAGCTGCTGCCTGAAAAGAATTACAAAAAAAATAACAAGAGCGTCAGAGTGCTACAGCAAGATCATTTTCATCCGTCCTCGGGGTAAGAGCTACTAGATGTGTTGGAGTCTCTATCTATTAAGCATAGTCTATCTAGATCATTTACTATGTATCTAAATAGAATTAATATTTAAAAATCTACAACACGAGACGTAGTACGTCGAGCGAAATAATCCAAATAAGAAAACCCTCGTGTATATATACCATATGTCTCAAATTATAGACTAAGAATAAACAATCTAAATAGAATCAATAATTAGAAACTCACAACACGAGACTGGTACGTTGAGTGAAATAATCCAAACAAAGAAACCCTCATGTATATACCATATGTCTCAAATTGTGAATCACTAATCATCAATCCCAATTAAGAATAAAAGAAAGCAATAAAAGAAAGTAAAATTATCATAATATCGGACCAAAAATATCTTACACTATCCTTTGAAAGATAATGTAAACTGCATATAATCCCGCGTACTTATAAAAGTAAAGTACCTCGATCATATATAACTCAGCGATAAGTCATGTTCATAAATGGCGTCCACCAAGATTCAGGCTATCAGATAATTATCACAATGCAAATCCTTAGAAACTTAATAGTTCATCGTATAATCATGAGGGACGGACTACCAAATCGGCATCCTAAAAGTGTACACGGCTTATTAGTCTCATCGTATCAACATGCGGGACAGACTACTAAATTAGGCATCCTAGGTATACAGCTCACAAGCCTCATCGCATCTACATGCGGGACAGACTACTAGATCAAACATCCTAAATCCCGACTCAATAGCCTGTACTAATGGTATATCGACGCACAATTCCAAGTAGTACTGAGCGGTGCTCATCAACGATATTCATACAAGTATATATAATGTTTAAATAACTCATATCTCCCATAATCGAAACAATAACTGTATTAATCCTGTTCGGGATACTTATGTGTGTGCTACGACACTATATGTGTATACTCATGATTGTACGTGTATCATCGTGCGCCTCGAACCTCGCGTTCAAAAATAGAAGGTGTAAAAAAAACAACACTTCAAACAAAAAGAACATAGGTCGGTCGACCAAACGCAAATGTGCACAAAGTGCAGTCACAGGTTCTCATCGGTCGACCGACTAGCCTTGGTCGGTCGACCGACCAGAGAAGATCTTAACAGATAAGGTTTTGGCGTTTGTATTTTTGTAACTTTATTCAAAAACTTAATTTTATTAACATTTATGATTTATGCATATAACAAGATTTAAACTGTCATATTTACTTAACAGTGATTAACTCAACATGATTTAAACTTTTGAATTAATCTAGTTTGGGTTTAGCATCTCAATTAACTAAAATTTTTCAAATAAAACATAAATTTATCAACATGATTAACTAAGCATGATTGAAACTAATCATTGAACAGATATAAAATAATTTAAATACGTTCACATCACTTAGGTATTACAAACCTAGGGTTTATACATCTTAAATTAACAAGAAAACTCAATTAATTGTTAAATTAGGGTTTAAACATGATTTAAGGATGATTAATAAATTTAAATACGTTCACATCTTTTTTATCTTTTGAGTTTTTTCAGATTCGAACTGTATCGGTGTGTAATGCATATATACTCTTAACTGATCATTTTTCCAGATTTATTCTTCGTGCATGTTTAACCTTTGTATACTCTCGTATATACTATTAATTGATCTCAAATCAATTGTTAGCATAATCATTCATCCATAAATGATATTCATCATAATAAGAGCTCATTTATCAATATAATTCATACTATTTTCCAAAATTCACGGGGTCTTACATTTTCTATCAAAGTGAATGCTAAAGGGTCAACAGCGTGATCAGCAGTTTAGTGAAAAATTCTATTCTTTTTAACATAATAGAAGATATTGGAGGAGAAAGGGTTGATTTGGGGGTCTCCTCAATGAGATGTAGAATAGAAAGGAAAGTCCCAAAATTAAGGAGTCACCACCACGAGAATTTGTTAGTAATACTATTCACTAGCTTCTTTGATAGGTATATAGAGATCAAATTAAGAGAAATTGGGAGGAAAGAGATGAGGAATTAGAGGAATTTTAAAAAAAAAGTTGATTGTAGTTTGTAATTTTCAAAACAAATTCCTGCCATCTTTGTAACCGCCGCTTAAAACCCCTTCTAGTCCAGCCAATTAGAAGCTGACATGTGGTACTAGTGTAGGAAATTTCGTATGTTGTCAGCTCACCTCCAGTTCTCTCTCTCACTCTCTCTCACTATATATACATATAGAGTGAGAGAGTGCGAGCTCCGCATGTTTGTTTGTGTTTTGAGAAATTTCTTGTGGTGTTAGCTCACCTTCAGTTCTCTCTCTATATATATGTGTGTGTAGAGAGGGAGGGAGGGCTCCGCATGTTTGTTTGTGTTTTGAGGAAGGGGTGTCACTTTTTCTCCATGCATAGATTACCCAATCTAAACTTGATAACCTTCTAAAGTGCATGTTATTGCCAAAGTACCTTCCTTTCATTAATGCTAACAGGATTAACCATGATTGTTTCTGTCTAATATAAATTTGAAACCTTTAACTTATGATTGCATACTTGCCTTAATGGCCTTGTATATATAAATACCAAATAACTCATTAACTTTTCTTGTTTATAATTCGGTGCACTAAAAGAGTGGTTTCTTCTTTTCTTTCCTCAAATCTCTTGATGATCTTGACAAGTGTCTTTCCTTATAATATATGATTTGAGTGTGCAATTCCTCGTGTTGGTTATTTGCAGGTCATGTCTCCGGAATTTACCTTTTATGACAGTTCAAAATTATCTTCCGATAGCTCCCTACATGTTGAGAAGCTTCTGAGGGCAAAGATGGATTTTAGCTTCATGTAAGTATTTTATGTTCCTGATGTTGTTCTGTGCACAGTTGTAGGGGCTGTTGAAGTATTTAACAGCTCCCGTCACATGCAAGTCTTGTAAACAGGCTTTCAAGTGTATAACAACTTTCTTTACATGGAAGCCCTTGCAGACATGCTCTTTATAATTTTGTCATTTTTAATCTACAAAATTTATCTCTTTTACTTCTAATATATTTTATAGGTATGCTTCAAAAGATAATGATACTTGGGCACGGTCTCTTGTTAAAGACCTTACAGTTGAGGCTGGTTCAGGTCTTGTTATTCTGGAACCAGTTGATATTTCGGGAGGATATACTTCTGTTAAAGATAAGACAAATATATCAGTGGTATCTACTGATATATGCGCTCATATTTCGCTCAGTGTTGCTTCTCTTCTACTTCAGTTGCAAGAACAGGCTGCTGCTGCTCTACAATTTGGTAATGCAGATCCACTGGCTTCTTGTACCAATTTCAAGAGAATTTGGGTATCACCGAAAGGTTGTAATTTATATCATTTCTCCGATTTCTTTTTACTTGAATAATTCGTCAAATTAATTAAATTATTCTCCTTGCTTTGTATGTACCTCATTTTTCAAAAACTACAGGGGATTTACCTGGTTATGGCCTAACATTTTGGAGGCCTCAAGCTCCATCAAATTATGCTATTCTTGGCGACTGCGTAACATCGAGGTAAGAAGAAGATGTCCATTCTTCTTGCATCCTATATTTGGCTCTTATATTTAATTGTATTCCCTTTACTTCCACGCTCTGTTGTGATACCCTAAACTTGGTGCAATTATGTTATAAAATATTGTATTTTAGCAATTTATGATAGCCTATTTCTGTATGTTTAAAAACATTCAAATATTACATTCAGAAAAGGTGTATATTAATTTTTTAGGACATTTTTTAAATTCATGTTTATGCTGTAAGGGTTAACTTGTGTAGATTGTCTAAAGATCTTAAATCAATGAGAGAGTGTGGATGGTCATAGTGTGAAGCTTATATTAAAGCAAGAGAACGGTTAGGGTGAGAGGAGAGTTGACTAGGAAGATGATGTTTTTTTGTGAAGGCACTTTCTGGAGGATAGCTGGCCTTTTTAAGCGGGGGGGGGTGTGTTTGGGAAGACGGATTATGTGTTGTGTAGGTGGGGTAGGCGTTCTGGAGGGGGTTTGGTATTGGTCTTGAGGTTCCTGCTTGCTTGAGCTTTTCAGTAAACATAAAATTTAGATGTCGTTGATGTTTGTACTCCCAAATCATCCATATTTGCAAATTCACCCCTTGAGTCTTAGATGTTTGCTTAGTTACCCCCTAAATCTCTACGATGGGATAAATATAGCCCTTAACTTCGATAGGTATGGGTATAGTTGCAGGTATGGATATGGGTATGGGACACGGTAAATTTGTTAAAGGGAGGTTACAGGGATGCGACTGGAACTCATGGTTCCCACTGAGCTAGATATGCAAAGGATCTCTGAAATTGTACTTCTTAAGGCTGAAGCAAACTCAACCTTTGTCCAACAAGTTCCAAAATGGATGTTAAGTGTAGGATGTATGTCCAATAAGCGTGAGTCTTTTAAATTAAAACATGTAGTGTATAATTGAGCACACATATGAAATTTGAATAAATGTATGCATATATTTAAGGAGTGGCCATAAAGTGTCAGGTGCAGGTTAGGGTATGAGGCATGTTGCATCCGGGGATGGCTTCATGACAGAAGTACTTATGGCTTAATGATATGAATTGGGTATGACTAAAATATGCTGAGACTAGTTAATTAAGCTTAATTACTTTATGAAAATCTCTCCAGTATTTTTTTTACAGGATAATGTTCCCTATTTTTATGTGCTCCATCTTCACTTCATTTTCTTCTCATATAAAATCGTTTCATCAAAAATTCTTCTTAGTTTTTCTTCTTCCTCCTCTTGGAGGGTTGGCATTGAAGATGTATGCACACCAAAGATTTTGAGTAAATATGTGAATGAAATTATCAAGGGAACTCATTACTGTGCTAAAGATCAATTGGACCAAGGATGTTGCCCACTTTCACTGAGAGGATGGAGATAAGAATAGAAGGAAGTAGCACCAAAACATCATTTTTATGTTCTCTGCACTCATGGGCAACTTCATGATGTGGGAGGTGGTGACCTCAGAGGCGCGCCCCAACAGCTGTTCTCATTCCTCCTCCAATCACTCAAAAACCAATATCTCCAGCGTGATTGACTGAATCTCGAGCATTATCGCAAGCTAGCCAGCATTTGGGGACCAAGATCGACCATGTTTTGTTCCTAGCAATGATTTGATCTAAGAGAGGAGAGAAAGTAGAGATGTAAGCGAAAAGGCAGGGACATTGTTGGGGAATTTTTAACTCAGAGAAAAAGTGATCGGAGATCGAGATCGAGATCCATTGGAGTTCTGATCCTTGGAGAATAGAAGCTGAAGGATTTTGAAGGGGGGGAGGGGGCTGTTTAATGAGTTGAGGGTAGAATAGTAAAGTCAAACTTTCACCGTTTCCAAACTAACATTTCCAAACTAACATCATTAACAAGGTGGGTTCTTATGTTGTCGATTTGACGGGTAAATTTGCATATATTTAGATTTTGGGTGTAAATTTGTAGATGAGATTTCCAAAGGGTATATATGCAAGAAGCCCTAATTTTTATTACAATAAATGGAAATCTTGGAGGTTATGTGATGCGGGATGTAAATAATTGAAGCTGAGGTGGAACGAAGCTTATGCAATCTGAAACTGGAACCAAGCGAGTTCACTAGAATTTCATCGATGAGGCTGGGTGAATTTTTTTTACTGGTTTCTTTTTGAAGTTTGCTGTTTGTTGGCTTTAAGAAAAAGAAATTGAACTTCGAGTAGGCTTTGTTTCCTGAAATTAAAAGCAGAGAGGAGGAAGCAAGGTATATGCTTAAGGCTTTGAATGGGGTTTCTCTTTAAGTGGATGATGATGTAATCAGTCACATGGGAGGGAAGATTGAGGTTGTTAGCTTGTGGCTAAAGGAAACAGGGTGTTTTCCTTTTGTTAAATTTTGTAGTAAAGAACTGACGGCTAAATTGATATGGGAAACAAAATAAAATAAAGATTTTGAATTAATAAAGAAATATCGAAGGACAAATTGATGGGAATGAAATTGTCAAAATTTTTTGGACAAACAGTACTTGTAAACAGTAACTCGGTTGAGCAGTAACATCTTTTTCCACTTTTTATTGAATAAAAAAACGAAACAATGATAAAAGAACAAGATGATTGTGGTTAAATGGGATTTACTCATAGACACGTTAGTTAAGCCAGATTCACACACTGGTGCTTAACCCATTTCGATTCACACCAAATACAATGGCTTGACACCTTAAAAGAGTCGCGCAAGATTTTCTTCAACTCTATTTTTTTTATTCATATACTTCGTGAATACAAAGAAAACCTTTAACCCTTTACATATTGGTTTTAAAATCCAATCTTTACTAAAATTCCAAATATAATCGACTTCTAATCCTACTACAAGTTAAATTCCATGAAGTTATATCTTGCCTGAATTTAAATGCAAACAGAACTCTAATTTAAAATTTAAGCATAATCAATAATTTCCTAACAACTTATCTCATCCTAACTAGTCTTTCCACTGGATGGGGACTCTTCAACTAAATCTTGATTTCACCTTCAAATTGTTCTACATCATTATTATTAGTTACCTTGCTTTAAATGGGTAGTCATAATCACGCTGATAGGATAAACATCTTTTGTCCTCCAAATTCTTGTTTTATAGGTTCATTGAATCATTTTCCTACTGGGTACCATCAGTTCTTTTACTACTCTACTAGGTACTCACATGACTTTCACATATCATGACACAGAGGCAGATCTACAGTTTCTTATGTGTAATTATTTTTGACATTTTTCTTAATTGGCTAGAAGAATTTCTAGCTCAGTGTTGGTCTTCTTGAATGTAAGTCTCACTGTAGTGTAAACACATCTCTGCAGACCAATACCCCCTTCACAGGCTGTCATAGCAGTGAGTAACACGTATGGCCGTGTAAGAAAACCTACTGGTTTCAAACTCATTGGTTCCTTCTCTAAGCTACAAGGGATGGCAGAAGAGTGCTTCTTAAATAACAACACTGACTGCTCTATTTGGATGCCTATTCCACCACCAGGCTACTTAGCATTGGGTTGTGTAACACATGTCGGAAACCAGCCACCCCCAAATCACATTGTCTATTGTCTTCGATCTGATCTTGCAACATCTGCTACCTTTTCAGATTGCATGCTTTATGTTCCTCCTGATATAAGGTAATTTTCCTGAATCATCCGTTTCATTCATTTAGATACACAAAGAATCACAGCATTTTAATCTATCATCTCTTTTTTTTTTCCTTTTGTTTTTTGTGTTTTCAGGGTTGGCTCTGGTTTTGGTATCTGGCACATTGACAATGTGTTTGCTTCATTTTTTGCACTGACTTCTATTGATTATCCTCCCAAGGTTAAGGGTTTTGGCTTGCACCAGATCCTCTTGCGCGATTCTAATCAACATCTTTCTTCCTCCAAACGTCCCACCTCGAATACTTCTAATGTAAATGACCTTAGAGGTCAGCAAGAAGCCAGCCACTCTAGCGGTTCATCTGGATGGGATATTGTGCGAACATTGTCTAAAAGCGGTAGCTGTTACATGTCCACTCCCCATTTTGAAAGGGTGTGGTGGGACAGAGGTTGCGATGTCAGAAAACCAATTTCAATATGGAGGCCAGTACGACGCCCTGGTTTTGCTCCCCTAGCTGATTGTATAACAGAAGGGTTAGGCTGCCAACCTCTGATCTCTACCTTTTTCATTTAGAACAATCTATTTGGTTAGTTACATGCTAATGCAAATTTATGCCTCAGGTTAGAACCACCTGGTCTAGGATTGATTTTTAAGTGTGACGACTCAGTTATTTCTGAAAAACCTGTTCAGTTTACTAAAGTTGCAGGGCTAAATAGAAAAGGGGTTGACGATGCATTTTTTTGGTACCCAATCCCACCTCCTGGCTATGCCTCCTTGGGATGCGTAGTTACAAGGACAGATCAAGCACCTAATAAAGATAACTTTTGCTGCCCAAGGATAGACCTTGTCACGCAAGCCAATGTTTCGGACCAACCTATTTCCAGGTCTTCTATATCAAAGGGTTCCAACTGCTGGAGTATCTGGAAAATTGAAAATCAGGTTTATCATTGAAGTGTTACTTAGTTGATATGTTATTTTGGTTATATTGGTCTTTTTACCTCTGTCTGTACTTGTTTTCATATTATTTGATCACTCTCAGGCCTGCACTTTTCTTGCACGGTCTGATCTACGAAAACCGTCAAATCGCTTGGCATATAATATTAGTGACTATGCAAAACCTAGAACACGTGAAAATGTAAGTGCTGAAATGAAGCTGGGGTGTCTTTCACTCAGTGTCTTAGACAGCTTTTGTGGAACCGTAAGTTGCAGTCTATGACTTGGAAGATTGATACTTCACTTTCCATATGTTTTATTATACCTCACTTAAGTATTGAATCTGTACAGATGACTCCACTAATTGACATGACGATTACAAACATAAATCTTGCATCACATGGGCGTTTAGAGGCGATGAATGCCGTGCTGATCTGCTCGATTGCTGCATCTACATTCAACGGACAATTAGAAGAATGGGAGCCTCTTGTGGAGCCATTTGATGGGATATTCAAGTAAGATACGTGTAATACGTTTAGCGAACTTTATTTGGTTTAGTAAACTTAAGTTTGATGATATAGGTGCTTTATGTGTTGTTGATTTATTGTTTCATTGCCAATGTCATTCCCCTGTATTGTTTCCTTGTGAGAATGATATTGCCACCTATTGCTATTCTTCTTTCAGGCTTGAAACATATGACACCAGTGAACATCCTCCATCAAAAATTGGGAGACGAGTGCGTATTGCTGCGACATCCACCCTAAATCTCAATATTAGTGCTGCTAATCTTGAGATGTTGATAGAAACTATTGCATCTTGGTGTAGACAAAATGATCTGGACCGGAAACCATTGAATGAGGTTGATTATATTTCTGCTGTTCCATTTGATTGTACTTGCAATTTTTCCGCATCTGCTGTTCCATTTGATTGTACTTGCACTTTTTCAGTATGGAAGCTAACTTGAGTATTTTCAGGAAGGAGTTGAAAATGTGAAGAGCAGCCATAGCCATACTTTAACCTTCTCTGCCTTGGAGGAAGATGATTTTCAGAATGTGAATATTGAGAATAAACTGGGGTTAGACATTTATGTAAGGAAAGTCGAGCAAACTTCAGATAATGTGCTTTTGTTACCACATGACAACGAGGCACCTTTATTGATTCCACCTCCTAGGTTTTCAGATAGGTTGAATGTGGTGACTAAAGCCAGAGAGACACGATTTTATGTTGCCATACAGATATTAGAGTCTAAGGTCTTTCTACTTTTCACTTAAAATGCCGGCCCTTATAATTTCAAAACTCTGTGTATGTGACTCTTCCATTTTGTTGCAGGGTTTACCTATTGTAAATGATGGAAACAGCCATGATTATTTCTGTGCATTGCGACTTCTAGTTGACAATAAGATGTCTAATCAGTATAAGCTATTTCCTCAGAGTGCGAGAACTCGAAGCATACGACCTTCAATTTCAAAAATAAATGACTTTGATGTGGGATATGCTAAATGGAATGAACTTTTTATATTTGAAATTCCTGAAAAGGTGAGCTGGAATTCTTTAAGGTTCAGGAGTCTTGATTTGGTCATATATGATACACTTTGGTGCTTAATCTGGGAGTTCCGTTACTTAGTACAAATCAAATAATCTATCATTTCTTTGTATGGACATTTTAGTTTAGATCACAATGTACAATGCTCCCAGGTTTTGTGATGCACTATTATCTGGTTCATGGAAAGTCTTCTAATCTGATTTGCTAAGATATATATGGATTATGATGCATGACTGTAAACTAGATATAACTGTTATCTATGTGTACTCATCTTCAAAATCAAAGGTATTATTCTAACCAATTTATTTATTGGTCACCAATATTCAGCTTATTTTTTACTTTATTCGTTTCATGTTGAGTACTATGAAGAACATGTCTAAGAAGATTTCAAATTTTCTTTCATATATAGTACTTACTAATCTTGTCCTGTTTATCCTTCTTCTTTCATACACAATCAATAATGAATCATTGCACATTCAAAATATTTGGAACTGGTTTTCACTGTATGTACTCAAAGTTCATGATGAATACGATAAGTTCCCTGCATGCCAACTTTGCTACATGGTTCCATCTAGTAAAATCTCTCTTGTACATAAATTCTTTACCAGAAGCTTTGAACCAGTACGAAAGTTGTATCATAGAAACAACTGTTAGAAAATGCTGTCAATTTCTTTGTTGAGTCTGCTCGTCTTTTTACATAAAGCTGCAGTTCATGACAAGATGGCAAGCATTTTGATGCGTGACTTAGCTTCTAATGATATACCATGCAGATATATTAAGTGCATAGTATTAGCACTTAGCAGTGCAGTTTGTATTAGCATGATGTTATAATTAGTATTAGTCATGCTGGAATTAATTTTTAACTTCAGAAACTTCCGAGAGTCAAAGACTTCCAAATGTATAGTCAGTGTTAAAAAGGGAAAAAAATGCTCATGGAGGAAACTTTTAACTTAATATACATAATGACAGTTTTGGAATTGTCTAAGATGGCACTCAAGCTGGACACCTTTATTGATAATCTTCAAAGCATAGTGAAACTGATATCTGAACTTCCTGTCCTAGAGAACAGTAGATCTGCAGGAAAAATTAGATAATGAAAGAGGTTAATGCTTTTCTATATCAAATTCTTAAGTTCAAAAACAAATTTAAGATTTTTTTCTTC